TCCTAGCCTGCATAATAATTGTTATCTTACCCCCTTTCAAGATCAAAACCTCAATATTCTTATCTAGGGTTCAAACCCTCAAACTATCATCAACTATTAGATTGATCAAGTCTAACAAAGAAAATAGAAATTTCGCACAAGGTAAAGATAAAGAAATTTATATAAACGAGTAGAAATAAACCAATCCGTCGTAACAAGGGTTCACATAAGGTTTGTGACCCTAACTACAATAAAGAAAACTTAGCCAACCATTATCATGGCTGATAAATTCAATATTCAATGTTACTTGAGAATGTAGATGGAAGAATAAAGAAGATCAAGAATTTCTCTCTGGAGCTCTCCTTCTGAAGCACGACGGTCTCCTTAGGTCCAGAATACCTAATTCTGTGTTGAGCATCCTTTTTATAGTGCCCCTTTTCATCTTCCAAAACTTACCTTTTAAAAATACGGTGCTGTGATTTCACAATCTGGCGCTCATAGCGTGAGTTTCACGCCATGAGCGTGGATGTCTCTGAATGTTCACGCTACTAGCACGGATCTCACGCTATGGGCGTGTATGGCAATAATGACTGGCGCTACTAGCGTGAGTTTCACGCTATGAGCGTGGATGTCTCTATATTCTCACGCTACTAGCGTGAGTTTCACGCTATTAGCGTGAGACTCTGGCCTGAACTTCCAAAAGTGCCTCTTTTTGTCCTATTTCCTACAAAATTAGAAGGAAATCAGGTGCACAATCTTTGATTGAGATTTATCAAATTAATAGTAATTCTATCCCTTTTTCTCCAAGATTAATCAAGATTTCTTTCTCATTTTGGCTAAAAATCATATATATTCTAGAGGCATATCAATCACAGTGGCTGAATTTCACGTCCTCTGTTTCAGGGAATCGATTCCTTTTGGGTGGGAATCGATTCCTAAAAAACAGGGGAGTCAATTTTTAGGTACTGTCTGTTACTGGAGCTGTTGGAAATCGATTCTTGGAGGTTGGGAATCGATTCCCACTGTACAAAATTTTGAAAATGAGTCTTTTACAACCTAGATTAAATGATATTACTTGTATGGGTTGTAATTAATAAGTTTTATGCTTCCGCAAATTTTGCACTTACAATTACAGTGCTGTTTTTAATTGATTATGGAAATGGTTAATGTTTAAAGAAATGAATGTAATAATAGAAAAAGTTTACCCGTAATTTAATTAACTCAATTACTGTGATTGTAACTGCGCTTAATACCATATGCAATGATAATATTTCCGGTACGTAACAGGCTGTTACAAAAGGCCTACTGACAGCCTGTCCACAATATGCTCTCTAAGCAGGTGATAAAATAAGGCTTTTCTATCATGTTGTATGCCCTACTGATAGAAATTTTTTGAATGCGACTGAAAATGGGTCTCTAATGACTAAGGCTCTAGCTAAATCTCTAAAGCTCATTGAAGATCTAGCTGCAGAGGAGAATGAGGATGTACCAACTCAAAGAGAGGCATTCTTCAAGTTGATAGATTTGACATCTTGATGACTAGTCAACAGAGTTTGCAAAAACAGATGAAATCTCTCACAAAGATGGTTGCTAAGAATCAGATTTCTGCTATCAACGATAAAGAGCCAGTAGTGTGTGATGTATGTGTTGTGGGGCATTTGACTACAAGATACCCATTGGTCCAACCTTATGAGGTCAATTACATGTGTAATGCACCAAGGAACAACTACCAAGGCAATAATGACATAGGATGGAAGAATAATGCAGGTTTCTCTTACAACCCACAACCACAATAGCCGTAGATGATGGTGCAACCTTGCCCATCTACAGCTTTGGAGATACTGGTAAAGACAATGGCCACGACCACTAATTCTTTTATGCAAGAGACAAGGTCAAATTTCAAGAATCAAGAGGCCTCGATCCGAATTCTCGAGACTGAGATCGAACAACTTGCCAAGAAATTGAATGAAAGAACTGTTAGGACAATTCCTAGTGACATTGTGGTTAATCCAAGGTAGCACTGCAACGAAATCACCTCTCGGAGTGGAGAGGTGATCCAACCTCAAGAGAAGTCAGCCAAGGTAGATGAGACAGCTAAAGAGGAGAGAAAGTCAAAAGAAGATAATAATAAGTAAGAAGAGACCCCCTAAAGATTTTGATAATACAAACTATCTTGGAAGGGAGATTATTAAGGATAAGAGTGCTTTAAAGAAACCTCCCAAGGGCTTCAGTCAGCCGAATCCATATGCTAAAGCTCTGTACCCTCTTCAGACGAAGCAGGAAAAAGAGAAACAACAATATTCAAAGTTTATGGAGATGTTCAAAAAGCTATAATTTAACATTCCTTTCTCCGAAGCTTTGGAGAATATTCATCTCTACGCTATGTTCATGAAAGATCTTTTATCAAACAAGCACAAGTTAAAGGAGATACAAACTGTGGCTCTGACAAAAGAGAGTAGTGCAGCGATCAGAAAAGGGATGCCACCAAAGGCCAAGGATTATGGTAGCTTTAGTATTTCTTGCAAAATTGGGAAGCAACAAGTAGGAAGAGCCTTATGTGATCTGGGAGCCAGTGTAAATTTGATGCCCCTCTCCTTTGCAAAGTCCTTGGGGATCACTAAGATGAAGTCCATACTAATGTCTCTTCAATTTGCTGATAAATAACTACCAATTACAAAAAAGTATCAATAATAAAGCCAATCATAAACAAATGTTTAAAATACATCATGAGGTAGGGATGTAGGATGGGAATGAGGATGAGGTTGAGGTTGAGGAGTCATTTGCAAGTGCCTTATTCTTCTTCATCTTCCTCTTCTGCTTCTTCTTCACCATCTTTTTCAATAATTTTCTTCAAGTCCTTAGCCATCTCTTGTTGATCCGCCTTCGTCTGCTGCAGCTCAGCCTGCATTTTCTCCTTCGCCTGGTGCAACTCGGCTTGCATTTTCTCGTGTTGCTATTACAGCCCGGTTTGCAATTTCCTCAATGATTCGTCGCATCCTGGTGAGCTCATCTGCAAATACATTATGACTTAGGTCAATTCTTTTGTAATTAATTTAAATAGATTAGTTAGTAAAAATATAAACAATTAATTGTATGTCTTTTACCTTTAGAAACACATGTAGTGTGTCCGGAAGAGTGCTTGGTAGTCTTCAATTGGCTGCGAGATACTTCCAAACCAAAATATCTTCTCTTTTCACCTGCTATCAGAAAGAGTTTATTGTTATCGGCTTGAGAGATGGGGTATTTATTAAATAAAACAAAAAAAATATGAGTATTAATATTCATGAAAAAGTACCACTGCAATATTGATTCGGTTTGACGACAGTTTTGACCATATTGTAGTGATCCAAGAAAAAGTTAGATGAAGAAATTCGGATTTTTTAGCCATTATTAAAATTCTGACACAATTTGATATTTTACTATTGGTTTGCGGTTCACATATGTATTTTTTTTAATGAAACAGTACCTATTATTTTAAAAAAGTTATAACTAAATAAAAAGGACAACATAAAAAACAATCAATAAGTTTTCATTCTTTCTAAAAAAAAATCTATCTTACTCCCAAAAGCTTAGGGCTTCGCTGACCGGTGTATTTTTTATATACAATAATAACACTAATGTTTGAATCTATAATACGGTTTGAGAAGAGAGAGACACAAAATATGAATGCTACACAATTTTTATGTATATATAAAGGATAAATTTATTTTCTATAACACGAGAAACATAAAACTCTTTATAATTCCCGTTTAGATGAGTTTTTATTCCTAATTTTTTTTTAAAAATAAAAGTCATTTTGAGAATTTTTAAATGTTTGGATAATAACTTTTAAAAAAAGAAAAAATTAAAATAAAAGTTAAGATATTGTTTTTTTAGCCAGTAGTTGGTTGCTTTTGAAAAAAGCAGATAATTTTTTTGTTGAAAAAAAGATAATATAAATTTTTAAAATACAATTTTAACTTCATCTTATTATACCTATTTTATATCTCCTTATTCCACGATCATGCTATTTTATCTCTCCTTTATTAATTTTATTTATAAAAAGTGCTTTTTTATTTTAATATCCAAACAACTTTTTTATATAAAAGTGATTTTTAGATCATACATCCAAACGTAAAATAACTTTACTTTTTTTAAAAATTTCTTTTAAAAAAAGGAATGCATAAAAAGTTATTTTTTTAAAAGCTCATCCAAACGGACCCATAATATGATATAAACTATCCAAGTTTTTCAGGATTAACCTATTCATATTAGTTGCCAATGTATTTTTTCAGGGAAAAGTTATATTTACAAACTTTTTGTTTACAAACTCTTACAAACTACACGAAGTATGACTGGTCATATTTCAATTATGATTGTATGACCAGTCATACTTAGTGTAATTTGTAAAAAAAGTTTGTAAACGAATTATTCCCCATTTTTCTAATATAATCGCAGGCTTAGCAAACATTTAAAAACAGCAAAATTAGATCAGATTAAATTCATTTTTAAAATAATTTTTTTGAACATTAACTGAATAAAAAGAACAACACAAAAAGCAACCAATGAAGTTGCAAGGTACTGGTGTAAGAATAATATTGACAATTATGTGATATTATCTAAAAACACGGATTAGATTTTACTTCAGAAAATATAACGGGGATAATCTGATAAAAATCTTTATACAAGCTTGTATAGTTCGAATATTAAACTTTCCTTTTAAATTCTCGCTTTCTTTTGTACCTCCAACAAGGCAAATGGAATTGATTGGATTCATTTTATGGCACAGATGAGACTAACTATATCTAAATAACTTAACCAAACATCCTATTAAAAATTACATGTTTAAAAATATTATCTATATTATTTTATTAAGTCATACTAATAAATTATTAAGTAATTTTATCCTATTATAAATAGTTTAATAAATTAAATTAACAGGTAATTCATAATGCATATATTTATGCATTTTCAACAAATCAAAATAACAATTAAACATTATAACGTACAATTAAATATGAAATACTTAATTATAACAACCATAAAGAAGAAGAAAGAAAAATGTATAACAAACAATAACATAATAACAATATAACACTCTAAAATCTAAGCTCCGAATGAGGAAATGAAACCTTTTACTAACCCTATCATTTGTTTTGCTTTGGATGGTTCGTAACACTCTATCCCATGATAACCTTCTTCCTCGAAGTCACTCACCACTTGCACACCCTTTTCCTCCATCAACTTCACAAGCTCCTTCCCACGGTCCACAAGTGGGTCCTCACCATTTCCACTCACCAATACCCTCCACCCAAGCTCTTTGATCTTTTCAAGTTTGTCAAGACAATTCTCAGCCCTTAGATTGGAAAACTCATGATCACGGTCAACTCCAATTGGAAGTGCAAGCTCCCACATCAAATCAGTAACACACAATGGAAGAAAAGGATCATTCTCAAGCCTCAACTCTGACTCAGTCCTCTTGATCCCACCAAAGAATGGTTGGCGCAATATCAACCCTTGGATCTTCAATGGTTCAAGATGATCTACCTCTTGTGCTGCACGTAGACCTGCATGGTAGGCAATAGTAGCCCCAGCACTATTCCCCATCAAATAACAATTAGAATAGTCAACATATTGTGTCAACCACTCATCTTGGCTACTTCTGATCCAAACCAACGCTTCCATGGCATCATCATATGCCGCCGGCAACCGATGTTCTGGCGCGAGGCGGTATTCAACAGAGGCAACGACGGCTCCGATGGTGTCTGCCATTTCTACGCACAAGTCATGGAACATGGTGGAAGATGCACTTAATAAGATAAAGCCGCTACCATGGAAGAAAACAATGAGAGGTAGCTTATCGTTTTGGTTGGAAGTGGAACCATGATTTGGAATTGCTTTTTGGGGTAGGAATAATCGGATCCAGGTGTTGTTTGATTGGTTGATGGGGACATCTTTAGTGAGAACAGGAACAGGAAGAGTACTGGTGTCTAAAGAGGGTAAGGTGTGCGGATCATGACGCATGCGAGTGAGTGTGCCATCGGGGTTGTAGATGATTTGGTGGTGTTGGTAGGGATCTATGGTTTGAGATGGTTGGGAGGTTTGGTTGGACATGGTGGAGTGAGCCAGTGAGGGACTATCTTTGTTTGAAGTGAAGATGAAAGTCTTCTATGCTCCGACAAGGTTTATATAAAGGGAAAACAACCTTTCCAAATATTTTTTACAAATTACATTTATAATCGATTATTTCTTGATTGAAATATAACTAATTATACTTAGTGCAGTTTGTAAAAATTTATAAACAAAAAAATTTATAAATATAATCTCCTTATCTAATAACTTTAGATTAAATTTGTTGTCTTTTTCGTTATCCGTGTGCACCCACCGGCCACATTTTTATTTAAGTTGCACATGTGGGCCATACCCATAGGATTTTGTTTAGTTGGGATTTCATTCTTTTAAAGTGAAAGTGGGGAGTGCGATTTAGAGAAAAAAAAGAGGGGGTGGGGGGGGGGTGGTGAAGTTATGGCTTGTTTGAATTCTGTTTAAAAAAAAACAATTTTTTGATTTTCAGAAAAAAAAAACATAAAAAATGTTTGATAAGACTTATTTTGTAAAAAAAATTTAAAAATTGTAACTTTTTTTTTGTTTTTAGAATCAAATTTAAAGAATATATTTTAAAATTTTAAAATAAAGAAAAACTGAAAATACCTATTTCATTAACTACTCTACAAAACAATTTTAAGAAAAAAAAAGACACTATAATTTTTTTTGCAAAATTAAGAGAATAAATTTTATAATTAATTTTATTATTTGTTATCAATGTACATGTATTTTATCAGTCTTGGTCATTGGTTTTTCAATCATTAATGGTTATAACTGCACGCTTTTTTTTCTCTAAATTGTATCTCTAATTTTAGAATAAACAAACTTTATTATGTTAGTGTTATTTGTATTATATGTAAAGTGAACTGTTAAATTTTGTAATAAGTGTAAAGGGACGCTTGAATAAGTTTAATTAATGTATAAAATTTGAAAGCACTGAGTCAATAAAATATTAATATGCTATTAATATTTTAGTGAATATAATATTTGTTTAAAAAAATTAGTAATGTGTCAATACTTTGCTTTTGTCAAAGAAATTAGATGTAAGAAATCTTGTAGATTTCATCCCCCCACATCAATGCATCCACACTTTATAATAACCCTAATTATATGACTTTTAAATTAGACGGTTATGATAAGGATCTTATGGTCATAAATAGAATGAGGATGAATTTCTAAGAATTTGGATACCCATATTGAGGGTATTCTAGTCAAGTGAATTTTCATCGGCTGTTGTTGACTGCTGACGCAGTAATATACTGTAGAATAGCTCCAGTACAGTGAATTTAAGTTAGAGAGCTATCCTAATGATATGAATATAAAAAATGATGTAAGCATAAGATTTGATGAAGTTCGATACCCCATATTGAGGGTATTCTGAACAGTTGAGTTTTCATCTGTTATTTTTGATTGCTGACGCAGTAGCAGTCTGTAGAATAGCTCCAATCTAGCAAATTTGAGTTAGAGAGCTAATCTAATGATATAAACATCATGAATGAGGTTAGTATATGAAATGGTGAAGATTGATACCCATATTGAAGTATTTCTGAAAAAACACTTTTATTGGATATTTTATACTGCTGTAGTAGCAACCGGTAGAATTCCGGAATAGGAAAAATATGAAATGATGGAATGAAAGCCCAATATATGCATAACAAAACATAATTAGACCAAAAATATTAAAGTTAAGAAAATTATGAAATCTGGGTACAGTTAGAAACACCGGTAAAGCATATAGTGCAATTAAACTGCGGTAAGTGGATCTGTGATCTACTAATTAAATTTTTAAGTTAGGAACATGATAATTAGACAAAATTAATATTAATTACTTAAAGTTTGAGTCTTGGAGGTTCCGGGTGGAAAAATTGATAACGGTTCAGATAAAATTTATACTGGGTGTCAGTAAAGGACAGAAAGTCACTTATGTGACTTGGTCAAAACCCTAGAAGACTAGGGCAACCCTCTTAAACACTCCCATCAGCAGCCTACTCTCTCTCTACTGTTTTGAAATTCAAACTTTCTCCTACTTCTCTCTAAGTTTTCTCCATCAAAACTCCACCAAATCACCAAACCTCCTTCACCAAAGTTGTTCCTCTCATCATCCTCTTCAAGAATATACCATTTTTGTTGCTAGAAACCAAAATTTTGTGGTGACTCTCCTCCTATACAGCCACAGTTTTGACAAATTCAAGCCTTGGAGATTTTTTTGAGTTCTCTTTGAAAAACACTCATTTGGTGCTTGTTTCCTTGAGTTTTAGTGTAAGTATCTTGATCTTTTTTTGAAAAATCCCACCTTTGAGTTTTGTTCTTGAGTTCTAACTTTGAGCCTTTCTTAAAGGTGTGTTCTTTGTGGAAAAGATGCATCCTTGCTTGAGAAAAATGGAAGCTTGAAGCCTTGGAGCTAACTTGAAGAAGTAAGCATGATTACTTGGAGAAATGTTGACCAAAATGCTTTCCCGTCCACCTATATGATTCAGCCACCATGAGTTTCCTATGGGGTTGATGTTTTAATTTGATAAAAATGAGTTCTTAAAGTTGTAAAGTGTGGAAAATCATGAGTGGAACCAAGGAAAAATGTTTAAAATGGAATCTTTAAGTTTAAAAACACTAATCTTGATTAAGGATGGTTTTGAACCCTAATAACACTACCTAATCAAATCTGCCCCTTTGAGTATAATTAGTATTTTATGTTTAAAATTTAATTAAATGATGAATTAGTGGACTAATTAAGTGGAGAACTTAATTAACTAAAGAAATGGTAAAGTTAACAAGTTAAAAACCTAGTTTGTATAACCTAAACAATTTGGCCACCTAAGGTTCAATTAGGGTTAGTATGTTAAATATTGGTTTAAGACCTAATTAGGACATTAATCTAGTGGTTAAGTGAGGTGGACTATGCATAATACACTAATTAAAGATTAAACCCTAAAAATGAACCTAATTAGGATTTAGGAGCACTAATCATGCAATTAATGAACTTGAGGTATCATGGCATAATGTAACTAAGTGGGATTTCATAATGTGACCTAATAATAGAAAAAAATCCAAGAATTAAAGTGACTTAGAGTTGCTAACCATAGGTAATTAAGATTTGATAATTAAACCCACTTAGGGTTAAATGACCAGTTTTTAGGCTAACTTGGGGAAGGCATATCTGCCTCCATAGAGGTCGTATAGGAATCTGCCTAATATAATTTTGAAGCTTGAGATGTTAGCTATGTGGTGTCAAAATTTGGTACCATTTGAAGATGTATAGCATTCTGTAGGTTCGATTGAGTGGAGACTTCCCTGGGAGACCATGTGCAGGGGTTGTACATGGCTGCAACTTCCACGAATTTTTTCTCCCTCATTTATTACTCAAATTACGCTCATAATTTCTCGAATTAAAGCTGAAGGTATCTAGTTGTCTGCACATAAATTTGAGAGCAATTGGTTTAGTAGATTTTCCAGAATCGTAGAAATGGTAAGGGATGTTTAGGGCTCTGTTCGGAGTTGGCAGACAGCTTTGCTTGTCCAACTTCAAACGGTGAAAACCGGAGCTAAAAAATTCCAAATGAGGCATGTGATACCTTTTTGGAAAGATAATTGAGTCTAGATTAACATACTAAAAGATGAGAAACTTATAACAAGTGGGTTACACACAGTGACTAAAAAACAGAAGCATGTACAATTATAGAAAAACTGTAAAAATGATATTTAGGCTAAGTGAGCTTACGGGAACCCCTTAGTAACTTATAATAATCATATATATGACTTAGAAGAGTTGAAAATAATTTAAGTTACCTTATTGGTCCTTGAGTACGATTCTAAGATTATGTAAAGTGCTTAAACTAAGTAATAAATGGTCTAGACTTGTAACACTTCATAATGCACTGAAATCATATAATTAAGTAATAAATGGTCTAGACTTGTAATGGGCATATTATTGGCATGTAAGAATGAAATGTGGAATCATTAAGTGATTGAGTATTAATAATGTAAATGATTCCTGCTCTAGATTTGCCTAGAGGATTTGGCACTTGAGGAGCATACGTATTTTACTGTTGGAGTTGGGCTTGTGAAAAGCTCAGTGAGGTAAGCTCCTATTTATGGTTGTTCCTCTCTCTTGTGGCCCAACCATGATGGTGGGCATTATGGTTTTATTGTCTGAAAGTATATGGTATGACGTATTTGTGCATTCATTCACTTTCATATAGATTTTATATTATTCTTGATGTTATGATGATGCACTGATGATATATGTTATGAGAATCCTGGCCAATGATTATGGTGTGTAGGCTGCCTATGACTTGAATCTAGGAACTATTGCATACAGAGATTGTGTTGACTGTCTATGGCTTGACTCTGGAGTCACACATGTGTAACCGTCTATGGCTTTGACCCTGGGGTTACACAAGGATGATATGATGATGCTATGTTTATGTTGTATGTCTGTATTATATGCTTTATATCTGACTTATCATGCATGAAGTCGGCTCAGGGGATTAGAGGATCCTCTATGAACCTTAAGCTTACTGAGATGTGTTATCTCACCCCGTTTGGGGACATCATTTCAGGTACCCAGAGAAATGATGATGCTTCTAGGGGCAAGGCCCCCCACCTTAGAATAGTGGATGACACTGCTAATTGATCTTTATTATGTTTAGATTCTATGATGACATGTATATTTATTAACATGCTTAATCATCTTATGTTGAGATTATATGATGTATTTATTTAGGCTCATGACTGTATGATTGGAGCTATGGATTATTTACTGATGCTTAGACATTTAGAAATTTATATATACTTATGTATGTACTCAGTTAGTTGGGCATTGAGCCATATTGTTTGTATTGACCATTGAGGGGATTGCAGTCCGTGTGGGACTTGCAAGCTGTCTGTTTAATTATTTTATCTATTAGGTTATGTATGTATGAGACCCATGTTCCCAGTTATCCGAAATACAGTCGTTATGCTGTCCGTGAGACTTCGCCAAGAATGACACTTGATGTCATATCCGGATGGTTAACGGCCACTAATGACGGCCAAATGGT